CAATCGTCATTTTGTAGAGCGTTTTTTACTGCATCTTTTCTTCATAGAGACAAATTTACAACCACTTGTTTCACTATAGAAAAATTTATTATTCAAATCGAGTCAGGACTTCTGGCCCACCCTTTATAACAACAGCATCCTATCCGGTACAATCTTGCAACAAGCTAATGGACGCAAATCACTTGGCAAAACTTTTTTAAAACTGTTATGTGCCATTCATTTTTTGTAATTTATTAAAGTGCGAAATATAATAAAAATAATTAAAGTGTGAAGTGTGAAAGTGTGAAAGTGTGACGATAATAAAACTGAAGTGCTAAACCGTTGTGGTTATTTGAAGCATAATTTTCCTTCTGTCACAGAATACTAATGGGAGAAAAAGAGAATTGCTAACTAAACATCAAGTTTCAGTTTGATTATACTTTCTCTATTTTTGCGGATATATCTGTTTATGTGAACACGTTCGATATTTTGTATCACCAAGATGTTATTTTCAGATTACACTAACGCAATCTTAGTCATCATGCTTTTTCAGTAGAACTTCTCACATTAACTAGACAGCAATCATACTATGCGAGAGTTGCGAATGTGATGCGAAGCTCTCTGACAAAGAAAGGGAAAACCAGAAAAGCGAAGGAGCTGTACATACGCATGAATCACAAAAAACAGTTTTACTCTAGTTGCTTGTTTTCTGCGGATCACGTACTATACGCGAAAGAAAGTCAAGCAGACTGCTAAGTAGTAGCGCGAGTGTAAAAAGAACTTGAGCGACCCTTTGGGAAGAACTGCACTAGGAAACTACATACTGCAAAAAGTCTTTTAAATAGTAACTAGAGTTGCACAACTTGTGTCTGTACCTGAAACTACGTCGATAAATAACATTAAGGTGCGTTGCGGGAAACTCGTAAACGAAGAAGAAATGATACTTGTGGTCGTATTCCTACTAGAAAACGCTTTCTAGATCTTCGTACAATTATTCTAAATCAAATGATGTTTATACATGTTTTTAAAACTATTTATTAACCAAAACACGGAAACAACTAAAGAAAATGTTTTACAATCGACGAAGTAGAGTAGTAGTAGATTATAGTAGCAGGTAAAGAGAGAGAGAAAGAGTTAACCAATAAATCTAATATCTTTGTAAAAGTTTCATGTGTTTTGATGAACCTGAAGGCATCTTGCGATAGCTTGTCCTTCACTTTTGGTTTCTTGGAGTTAAATCTCGGAGTGAGCCGGAAGCAAAAAGCTAATTATCACTTAGTTATTGAAAAATATTGACACCATTAATGACGACGTGAGTAGAAACTATGAACTAATCGGTATAATTACAAAGCAATTACTCTCTCACTACGTTAATTATCAATAACACAGCAGTACAACGAGAGGTAAAAAAACACTGATAATTTACAATACTAATTACAGAGTGTGAGACTACTGGCTACAAGCCAACTTGAAAGTTCACTTCACCCAATATGGCACGTGTACACTCATCGCATCAATTATCTGTCAGCTGTAAAAGTTCTATGTTCCAAAACGTCAATCGACCATCTTTTAGATGTTCTAGACAAAAAACTAAATGTCCCACAGAACTACAAAATAGGACATTCCCATATTCAGCGTCCGCTCCATATTCTCATTTTTCATATTTCTTACACACTTTCCAGAGCTTGAACAAACAGTGTGAGAAAATAATACAAAAAAGCGTATTAAAAAGATCCACTTTGATTGTTGGAATATGGCTTTGCACTGCATTAATTACTAAGTAACATAAACGAATTGTTCAGAACTAGTAAGAATGAGGAATACTCATGATATTTGTCATAAGTTGCTTGATAGCTTTATTATCGGTACAATGAAATATTATACTTTCAAGATTTTTATGTTAATATGAGTATATAGATTAAGTTTTGCAATTTGTCAAGGATGAATTCTTTGAGAAATAGCTTACAATAAACGTGGTTCGATTTATGATCGTTTGTCAGAAAACTTATATTTTGTTTTCATCTTGATCATTTAAAAATTGTCTATCATTTGTTCTTGTTAAAAATTCTTTCTATTATATCTTGATAAATTTTTTTAAGCTGATTACTTAATCCATTCATGTTTTAACTTTTTTCGCTTTAGATTTCGATTGTCAATTATCCATGCGAAGCCAAAAAAAAGAAAAAAAAGATATGTCACAATAACGGCAAAAACAAAAAGGTAGTAGAAAGGGGTGTAGTCAAACAGCGTGTATTTAATCAGTATACTAATAAACACAATAATGAAGAACGAAGAAAAGTGAAATCGTATACGCATGTAACGTATTTAACTAAAAAAAACGACAACGTGAAGACAATTCATTATCTTGATTAAAATCATTTAAAAAGATTAACAATGTCAGGCAAACGTTCTACAAAACATTCATTAACATCATCTAACAACGATGATAACTTATGTTATCATTCTACAACAGTCTGGCGTGTTCTATTAGATGTCTTCAGTTTAAGTGTGCGTAAGTAATTAAAAACTATAATCCTTTAGCTTTTTACTATTTTAACAATTATTTTGGAAATTTTTTTCATTGTATTTTGTTTAATTTTTTTTAGTTCTTATCATCACAGTAATAAGTCATTTTATTCTTAAACCCTTTACTCGAGGTTATTTTTGTACTGATTATTCCATCCATTATCCATATAAGTCTAATACCGTATCAACAACTGCTGATGTTTTATTATCTACTCTACTTCCTCTTCTTTGGGTATGTTCAATGTGAAAAATTATTTTCATCATCAAGTATAGAATTGATATTTCTTCTAGATATGGTTAACTGAATTTATAAAATTGTTCTATTATCGTTGGTATCCTCAAACGATATATTATACAAAATTACAATTGTGTGGTGTTAGAATAAGAAATATTCATCCATTTATTAGAAATCTCTATCTTTTAACGGGTAAAATTGAAAAGGAGATAAGTGTGTAAAAAGTTTGTAAATAGCTTTTATCTTTATAGTTGTCTTTCTCTATGGTTATTTGACAACTTGGGTATTGACAGAAATTGCAAAAAATTTTGTGGGTGAATTACGTCCACATTTTTTTGAACTTTGTCGCCCAAATGTGACATGCTCATGCAGTTCTAGTTGTGGCGTTAATAATCAAGTTTATATAACAAATTATGTTTGTCTAAATACCGATGAAACAGCTGTGAGAGAAGGACGGTAGGTGGAGGAAAACTATCATTTACGAGGAAACATCTTTAGGTAATAATCTTCGATTTCAATGATCTTTTGCCGATAGAGAAAGGGTAGTGTCCTGGTAAAAAGTTCAAAAGGATTTCTGCGCATATGGATTCTTTTAAAAGCTATGAAACTTTTTTGTTTACCTGCATCATATCATACATCATACAAAACTAAAAATTCATAACTTTCCAACAATAGTGAATTAAGATCTGAAATCTATAGTGCTACTAATCGTTTATCCAGAAAATTTCTGACTTTTAACTCCTTCCTTTTACGGGTTATCGAATTTTTCCTCGCTTAAGGAAAAGCATGTAATATAATGCTTCCTAAAAATTGTTTCCAATGAGAAAAACAGCACTGTATTCGAGAGCCAACTGTAAAAATGCATGTAGATGATCGATCACCATGAGGGTATCCACGCATGCGTACGTATAACACAGCCGTATATAAAAATCACATACACAACGAAAGAAATTTATGCACATGAACAGGGTGAGCTTCTATTATGTTCGGGAAATTAGAATATCGGAACTGTGCTTCTATTCTAGAAGAGGGGCTACTACAAATCATTTTCTGTCAAAAAAATTTGGAAACACGTATGGTTAAGAGTAAAACACATAGTACAGCTGAAAACGTTACTTTTAATAAAGTAACTTTATATGCTTTTCCTTAAGCTAGGAAAAATTTGATAACCCGTAAAAGGAAGGAGTTAAAAGTCAGAAATTTTCTGGATAAACGATTAGTAGCACTATAGATTTCAGATCTTAATTCACTATTGTTGGAAAGTTATGAATTTTTTAGTTTTGTATGATGTATGATGCAGGTAAACAAAAAAGTTTCATAGCTTTTAAAAGAATCCATATGCGCAGAAATCTTTTTGGACTTTTTACTAGGACACTACCCTCTCTCTATCGGCAAAAGATCATTGGAATCGAAGATTATTACCTGAAGAAGTTTCCTCGTTAGTGTCGAAAATTGGCTAAAACAAATTTCTACAGATCTGGCGAATCAATTCATAAAGTCATGCATCAAGAAAGGAACATAATCTTATTGTTTAATTTTAGACGATCATTTTTTTCTGGACATGCATCAAGCATCTTCTTTGGGATTTCGTGGTTGATTGTAAATATAATTTGTAATTTAAAGATGACACTGGAATACTTTTAAATTTTATTTGAATGTTTAAGATGTATATTCATGTTTCCTGGACTTGGCGTCATTTGGGTATTATTGGAAATTTATTCCAAACTGGATTTGCTATTTTAGCCTTTTATGTTGGTAAGGTTTCCTCAACATTATTTTTAGAAAAATAAAATTAATGTTACTATTTCGTAGGCTATAGTCGTATATCTGACTTTCAACATCACTGGCACGATGTTTTTGTTGGTGGTCTCACTGGCGCCTTAATTGCATTTGTCACGGTGAGAATTTCATTGTGCTATTTTGATTTACACTCTCTCTAAATGAATTATTGTAACCATTTAGTTTAAATTTATTTTGAATTGGAGACCTTACGACCCTCGATTTCTACCTTATACTGTTTTGGGTGGAGTTGTTGGAAATGACAATACGGAATTCGAAGTACAACAAGATGCTGGTATGTATCAATCGCAAATTGATGGTGTTACGCGAGTTCGAATTGATGGACAAAGAAAAGTAGGACCTAGAAATAGCAATGGCGATTGAAGTCCATTGAACACATTGAACATTGAAGTCCATCAATTTAGAACACTGTGATATATTTTTGTGATTAAACTGTGAAGGATGAGAGTATAATTTAGCAATGATATCGGTACAGGCGTTTCACAAAGCAACTTTTCAATATTAAAGAACTCTAGATGATTACTGTACACTTTTGTGGTTTGTTTCTATATTTTCATTTATTTTTTGTTGTATAACAATTTGTATCTCGCAATTTTACTGTTGTTTGTTATCATAACACATGGCAACTACTTTGATTGAAGTAGACTAAAACTTAAAAATGTATTATATTCTTGTTCGTTGTTTCTTCTTGCAGATGAAGATGCAAACAAATACTAACATATTTGTTATAAATATTCGGAAGAGAAATATCCATAAAAATTGCGCAATATTACGCATATAAATAGATCGCTTTTTTTTGTTAAAACAGACTCTTTTCTTTGTAAATAAACAGTGGTCATACACATTAGAAAAGGGGACGCTAACAAGTGATGTGCCGGTCGGAAATCTAATTCATAATACTACAACTCAGTTGTATTAGTTCATGTTATATCTGAACTAGCCTTTGGTAACAAAACATCTAAATATATTTCATTGTTGATGCTGACGCAAGCATGGATATCCATATTCATCCATGGTCATCCATATTAGTTGAATACTGAAAGAATGTGGATATATCTTGGAAAACACATTACCCTTGACCTGCGGTTTTCAAACATAGATAGTGCTATAGTAATGTTTTCACAAGACACTTTCCTTAAAACTTAAAAATTTCGCCAAGATATAGATTATTTTGTCTAAGATTTTTTCAAGATTGGATGAGACTCTGTTAGGATCTTAATAGTGGGTACTATTATGTTTTTTAATAGCATTCATTTAATAGGAATTTTTCAATATTCAAGTCGAAAAAAGTTCAAAGTTGTTCAGTGTACAAACTGAACAGATCTTAAGAAGAACATTTTCATATTTTCGGGTGCCCAATTATGGATCTTGATTTGTATTGTACACTCTCTGAAAATTTGTTGAACAGTTTTAAGAGAAGACGTACGAGCAAAGTCTGCAGATTCCTCTGCGATACTTTCGAGAGAAGCTATGCAAATCAGTGAAGAAGCAACTTTCTTGGAATTTTTTCAATTTTAAGATATTTTCTAATAAATTCTAAGATAATTTCATCATGCTAGCGCCATCTATAACTTCATATAATCTGATAAAAATATTATCTTTTACAATCTAAAAGTACTAAACAACATCCAAGAATGCTTTAGCAATAACTTCCCTCGATATCAACTATACAGTTAACCTAAACACAGCCTTTGACAACGCCTAGCAACTGCGACAGCTAAATTTCGACACTTTGAAGTGCGATACATATTTCCCATATAAAGTGCGACACATTCTACTACGACACATTTTTGCGACATATTATTTTTTTGTATATGTAAGAAGAAAGATATTGTTAAATGCAGTTATATTTACATTGTTACTTTTATAGATGCATGATGGCAAGACAAAAAGATGAATGAAAGTGGAGTCATGAAATGAAGTTAAGAACAAGAAAACGTCAAAGTTTATTTACCCAAATCAATTTCTCCGCTGCAGTCGCGGCTGGAGTCGTGCTAAAAAGTCGCGGCAAGCTCGTGGTTGGCGAAATTAAATAATAGAGCCTGGTCACTCGTAACAAAACTCTTATAAACCGTGGGATGTTCTAAACATATAGTAGATATTCACTGACATAAAGCCTAGAATTCTGTTCTTTTAGCTTAAAAAGTTATTTATTTTAATTTGACTATTTCCCTATAATGTAGAAGTCATAGTCGATCTACCCAGGTCGACGAAAACTGTCATTTACTTGTCCATTAACAGCCTGTTAACTGTATGCCAAAAAATGGTCTGTTAATTGTGTAAAAATGGAATGAAAATTGACATTTAACAGCCATTAAAATGACTTTTTTTTACTTTGAAATAACGGTGAAAATAATGCCATACTACAGTCAATGTTGGAAAAAATGTCATTTTACGGACACCATTAAATAGCATTGTCGTCCATTTATTAGACCACGTTAACTAATGCCAAATAAATGTGCATGTAACATGTCCGTTTTGTGGTCTGTGGTTCTTGGATCGATGCCGGTGATAGTACCTCAGGTTTTAGAGGATATTTTTTTGATCATTTTCTAACAGTCTAAAATTTGATATTTAAATGGCAAAAGATTGGGATCAACAGGGTTACTGGCAGCAGTTAAATGGGTGTTATTTGACCGTTTTCTGACATTTAAAAAAATGCGAAATAAATGCATTTAAACGTTCCCAGTTATAATGGCAAAAAACGGCCTAAAAACTGGGTCCAATGACATACGAATTCCATTTAAATGCATATTAATAGCGTATTAAATGGCATTTAATTGGCAATTAATTACACCGTTTTCGACGTCCTGGGTAATTTCATCATTCAGTATCACCAGCGATCTCTGTGTGTTTTTATCGAAAGTTTACAAAAAAAAGGGCATTCTAGTTATTGTCAGATAGGCAAAATAGATGTTGGTATAATCCAAATTGAACAAAAAATATCTAGACGCCATACGTATTTGTCTGCTAACCGCGTTTCCACGTTCTACGGTACTGCAACAACTACAAGGGCTTGTGTTCAGTTTGTTAATATTTTGTTTTTTAGTATGTGTAAATAAATTTCTTGATGAAATTTTATATCTGAAAAAAACACGCAGCCAACTTCGTTGAATGACTAATGACTAATTGTAGTTCTTCTCGAAGAAACAAATGCATTATGCATATGACTTTTTTCATAAATGTCATTTGAGGAAAATTACAGTATAGAAAATTTCTATTTTTAACTATTTACTTCTTCATCCATAGATTTTTCATGATGGCTTGATCAACTACTGGCGTTAAAGTGAAGCCTCTTTCAAAGCAACTTTTTATATATGTTAAATCAGTCAAAGCTGGTGCCTCGTGCGTAAATATTTCATTTTGCATTTTTTATTATAAAATACTAAAATATTTACTTGTGATATGTTAGAATTGATGTAATCTTTTTATTGATACAATAAAAAAGAAAAGAACAAAATTTGAAAACGTGATCTTATTGTTCACCATTTACTTTTGAAACCAGAAGGTCAAATATACTCTATAATTTTGTTGGTGATGTTTTTTATTAAATTAACATCAGGCACAAAAAAATCGTTAGAAACGGCAGAAAAATGCCTTTTTTAAAAACAACGCAAGAAACGCGTTACTGAACAGCCTACAAAAAACGCGTTTTCAGGCGTTCTAGAACGCGTTTCAGATGAAACATTTAATGCGTTTTGTGATCGTTAAAAACGGAATCAAGACGCGTTTCGGGATCGAGTCAGCTACTCCTGAATTGTTTCAGAAACGTGTTTCATAACGTTTATTTCATTTTCCGTTCTCACGCATTTTTAACGGTTAAAAAACGCAACTAATCATTCACCATCTTGTTTTGCGGTCGGCCAAGTATATAAGCACAATCGAAATATCATCGTCTTTTCGTTCTTTTTTAGTTTTAGATCATCAGTTTTGTACTTCATTTATTACAGATTTTCAGATTAAGTCCCACTGGGTAGCCAAGTCTCATCTTTGGCTGAACGAAAATTCTGGAACGATTCAGGAGCTCCAGACTTGGTCCCGAAACGCGTTTTTATTCCGTTTTTAACGATCAAAAAACGCGTTAAATGGTTCATCTGAAACGGGTTCTAGAACGTTTTTAACGCTACGAAAACACGTTTTTTGTACGTTTTTAGCGCAAAAGGAACGTGTTTCTAAGTTGTTCAAAAGACTGTTTAAACGCGTTTTTCTTCGTTTCAAATGAAACATTTAACGCGTTTTTGATCGTTAAAAACGAAAAGAAAAACGCGTTTTAGTGCGAATTTTTTTATGCCTAGGTTATATGTTGGATTATATGTACAGTGATAAAAGGACGAAAGGCGTCAATTGTTTTATGTTGTGTTATGTAGACTTATATTAGTTGAGTTGAACACTTAAGAATTTTTATGAATGACTCTCCTGTCTTGTATTAAGATCGTGACGGGAATCGTCACCACAGCGCAAAGTTCAAACATCGAATATTAGATTATTTATATTATATTCGGTTATGCTCTGCATATGTTATTTAATTAAGACATCTGACTTTCTTGTTCGTTCGTCTCTCACATAACTGCATGAATGCTTATCTAGTATTTGTTCACTATTTTGATTGGTTTATCCGTCGAATACCTCCAGAGTATTTTCCACATACTATGGCTACGTTTACATAACAAATTTTTCAGAGTTAACTCGGAGTTAACTTTTCAGAGCGTTTACATTACAAGTCTTTAGCTATTATTTTCTATTACAGAAAACGTTCTCTTACAGAAGAGGTGCTCTTATTCGCGTCCTTTTATCTCAGCTTTATAATGGCTAGCATTGCGAACATTTTTTGTGAAACTTCTTCAGTATCTCCAAAGTAGAAGGAGTTGAAGTTTTATGCTCGAAAATCCTTGATTTTGACAGCAGCAATTCCTTGACTTCTAAAGACAGCAGCAATTTTTCTTAATTTTCTATGTTAGTGAACACTATTCCTAATACTCTCTCTTGGCTAATGTAGAGGAGTTTCACCATTTTAGCCCCAAAAGAGGCTGCAATAACAAGGTTGACATAGTTTCACAGAAGATATTGATCGCACCGTTCATTAGCGATACTTATAAGACTGAGAAAAGAAAGTATGCTTACGAGGGAACCGTTCCAAGTGATTCACTCCGATTTAATCAAAACATACTTTTTCATGGGTTATTTTTGGATGCTGATTACGAATCTGATATCCATTTCGGTCTATATGTCTTTCTAGTATGGATCTCCAGCAACCAGGTCTCGGGAGATCCACCCCGGATAGTTGAATGAAGAGATTCTGGTATGGCCACTTTGTAGCGCAAGTCAAGTTACATAGGCACACAAGTTTCTAGACATACCAAACACGTTCTCTCAGAAATCCAAAATTTTTACCTTCATCGCTCGTGGAAATTATAGACATGGTAGTTTTTCTTATATTACAAATTTTGCATCTCTGAGAGAACGTGTTTGGTATGTCTAGAAACTTGGGTGCCTGTGTAACTTGACTTGCGCTACAAAGCGACCATACCAGAATTTCTTCGTTCAATTATCCGGGGTGGATCTCCCCCCGGAACTGGTTGCTGGAGATTCATACTAGAAAGTCATACGGACCGAAATCGATATCAGATTCGTAATCAGCATCCAAAAATAACCCATGAAAAAGTATGTTTTGATTAAATCGGAGTGAATCACTTGGAACGGTTCCCTCGTTAGCTCATTTTTCTCTTAAAATGTTGTTCATTGGTCTCATCTACTCTGACTCTTCATCTGGTCTTACATGTGGATGATCCATAAAATACTTATGACCATTTTTCTGTATTCTCCGGACAGGCAAACAGACATAAAACTCGTTTGTAAGGGTTAAGATAACCTAGAGGAAAAACGCTGGAGGAGAGCGTTGCTATCAGCGTAATTTTGTGCCATTTTACACTGATTGTAGCGATCTTGCCCCAGCATTATCCTCTAGCTTAACTTATAAGGCCCTAGGCTCAATTCAAAAAAACAAGGTAACGCCCACGCCTCGATTGGACTATCTAATAAGTGCTTTGAAATCTTCTCTTATTTCACGTGTAAGCTTCCTAATATAATGTAAACCTAAAAGGTTTTCTAGAGACCATGGAAAGATCCCCAGAGGCCTAAAAATATTTCTGAATACAAGACAATGCTCACGCCCTTTAGTAGACGTTCGCATCCAGGATAGCTTAGAAATGTTGTGAACTTCTCTGATTTCGCAGAAAAAGCGCACAATTTAACATAAAGCTAAATAGTTTTTTGAACACCTCTGAAAATCCCAAGGGGTTGGAAGCGTTTCTAATCGATTCGCAATAACAGACTATCGATCTTTTGTAAGTTTTATCGTCCGTAGATCACTCTTTTGTTCTATCAGAGGTCGCTGATTTCTGGCGACATCTGCCTTCCGGCTACTGGGGAAATTTCCTTAGCTTTTTTCCTTTGTGTATCAGTAGATATTCCCCATCTTTAATATTTTCTCTCTCGTGGTTAAAAAAAATTTTCTATTTTCCTTTCTTATGATTGGCTTGTCCATGGAATATCTGGCAGCCATTTTTCCGTATTTTGCGCAGACACACACAGATTATTTTGTAAGATCCTCGACTAAAGTCAAAGGAAGTATCTTTGACCTGAAACGCACTAACAGAAAATGTTGGTGGAAGCGAGATTAAAACAAGCCTAGTTGCTTCTGTGAAAGACTGATAGCTAAGTGCGAGTTAGATATTAGAGCATTCCATGGACAAGCCAATCATAAGAAGTGTTAGAGCAAAGTCGACTCAGTGGAATAGATTTGCAAGAATACATCGGTACCAGATCTGCCAGATGGCCCGTATTTTGCAGACAAATTTCGCTTTCTGTAGTTTTTTTCTCAATTTGTCCGCTTTTCGAGGACTTTTTGTCCTTTTTCCTGCAATGTAGATTTTTACATTTTCTCATAAACAACTTGCCGCCTTTGACGACTGAATAACCTGTCAAAGCACTGCTTTTGCAACTTTTATAAAACATTTTAAAAACTGTTTTGAGATGTTTTGAACCCGTCCCGATTCCATTCAGATGAACTGAAACCCGTCCCAAACCCGAACCCGCCGGAACTGTTTCGGTATCCCGAACTCGATCCCGATATTTTCAAATAAAACTCGCTCCGAAAATAAAAATCACTTGGTCGGTTGTACGTCGAGTACGACACACCTGTCCGTCTTCCTTATTTTTCATTCTTTTTTATTTATGTAGAATTAGCTCTTATCTCCCCTATATCAAACTAGAAGAATCGGGATCGCAAACAAACCTGATCCCGAACTCGTTCAGATGAACTTCGAATTAAATTTTATCCTGCCATACATAACTCTTGAAATTTATAACGGCTGATCAGAAACGCGCATCCACAAAAACCCAATATTGATTCCAATTGGGAATTAAATGATTTTTTGTACTTCTTTTGTGTTTCTTAGGTGGAACCACCATAAAGCACTAGGAAAAAAATTTTTGATACCCTTTGTATTCAGTGAAAAATGAACCAGTACGATGAAAAATGTGTTTCCGCTTTTCTGACCTAAGCATCGGGCAACTCTGGTCGGTATACTTTGTTTGTGTTTTTTAAACTAAAGTGTGTCAAGTATGAAAAAGAAACAAGACTAGACTAAGACTAAGACTGTTTTATTCACGAAAAGTGTGAGTCATCAAAGGTCACCGACCTGTAACAAAATAGCATAGCACAAAGAACTCGGGAAAAGTCATTATTTTACTTCATAAAACCATCAACCGGTAAATAGTTTCGTCAGATATCATTAATATCTGTTAGTCTAAGCTGAGAGGCAATTCTTAAAGTAAATTAATTGTAGCTATAAATCGTTTTAATTTGAGTTCAAGAGGTATATGGAATCAATACTATAAAGTGACCTATTGATGTATATTAAAAGGCAAAATCATATGTAGTTTTCAGTAGATCTTGTTTAGTTTTTAGATTCAAATTTTTTCAGAACTCATTTTTTCATAAATAAAAGATGACTGATATAGAAACTCCACCATCCTCAGCTGACACGCAAACATCAGCTGTTGAAAACAAAGAATCCCCATCAATCGATGGTGTATTATCTCCCTCTGTTGCCACCTCACCATCGTCAAACATAACGAATTCACATCCACTAGAATCTCATTATACATTCTGGTATACACACCGTCCCACAACATTCCGAAATAGTAATTTAAACTACGACTCATGTTTAAAAAAATTGGGTAAAACAAGAAGAAAATAAATTAAGCGTGTGATCTAGGTGTTTTTTATTTACATAGGCACATTCGGCTCAGTCGAACAATTTTGGATATATTATGACCACATGAAAGTACCAGCTGACATGCCATTGTATAGGTACGATTGAAAATATATCTAATAATTTCTGAGATTTCTACGACGAGAAAATATGTTAATGAAATTTTGGTCGTTAGTGGGATTTCGCTAATACCTTTACGGGCGTAACCACTGCTGATCGTTCACTCGCTAAAAAATCCATTGCCTTGCTGAATTTGTTTCGTTTCTTATCTTATTGCCTTTCTCTCCCTAATATAACTTAGGAAGCCTACTTTCAGGTTGATTAGACATGCTGTGTTTCAATATGCTCTTCGTCTTATACGAAGGGCTAAACTTTGAAAAAATACCAAGTTATTGTACTAAAAAAGCACCCACTTATAAGTACAAGTTGGTTAGGCAAAACAACACGGCAAATAAGCTGTCCACGTGTGTAAACTAATAGAAAACCATTCTCCAACACGTAGTGTAATGCTTTCTCAGACCTGGCCATACGTAAAAAACTTACATACAGTATAAATTCGCCACTTTCACAGCATAGAAGTCCAAAAAACGTTCAAATATGTACATCCTTATCTGATTGCCCCCTTTTGCTACTGTGTTGAATTTTTTGAGAATTTTTTTGTTTAGCTTGTACTAATTTCTCGTGTATATTAGGTATGCACCAGTTAAAAATTGCTGTTTGGGCTTCCACGAAAATTGTTATAAGTCGCCTATAAAAGATTTCTCAGAGTCGCAGAACGTCTCATGTTGTAGAAAAAGGTTTAGACTATAATTTTTCACAGCTGACTTTTCTAGAGCAAACATGATTCTGAAAAATCTTTTATAGACGATTTATAACAATTTTCGTGGAAGCCCAAATAGCAGTTTTTAACTAGTGCATGCCTAGTGTATATGATAGCCAACTAAATCAGAAAAAGAGAATTGACTCAAGATTTCTTTTAAACTAAATGAAAATGACTTTTAAATCTTTTACACGTTATGTATCTGTTTTTTCTATTATTCTGTTAGTGATATCCATTTATTTAAAGAAAATTTAAAACCAATGTGGGAAGAAGAAGGAAATCGAAATGGCGGAAAGTGGATATTACGTTTAAAAAAGGGTTTATCGAGTCGATTATGGGAACTGTTAATATTAGCCGTTATTGGTGAACAGTTTCAGGTTGGAAAAGAAATATGTGGAATTGTATGTTCAATTCGTCCACAAGAAGATCTCATTAGTGTATGGACAAAAACAGCGAATAATCAAAATGTCACCCAACGTATTAGAGAAACAATGAAAAAAGTATTAAGTTTGCCTGTTGATTGTAAGTGCCTGTTTACTCATTTTTACAAATTTTTCAAAGAAAATGAAGTGTTTTTCGTGGAAATGTGCGACGGCTCATCTCCTTGATGATGATTTTATTTGTGATGGGTATAACATTTTATTCGCGCACGAGAGATCGTCAAAGGTTTCTGACCTACAACGTGATGATCTCGCCATAAAAATAAATAAGATAAAGAGAATAGATAAAAAAACATTTTCTGTTGGGAGTGAAAAACCGTTAACAAAAAAAGGAAAGCGAACATACTTGAGATGATGACAACGTAAAGAAGAACAGTGAGGACGTTTAACAGTATAAAAAATGGAGAGAGGGGTGAAATGATGATAGTTCAAACTATCGCAGAAATATTTTTGCTTCTAAGGTAATAATTCTTCAAACATAATGATTAAGATGTTGTTTTCTTTGTCTATTATTTAGGTCCACTGGAATATAAAACACATAATGATTCATTGAGAGATAATTTTAGTTACAGAAATACAGACAGAGTTCGTTAAAGTTGCACGGAGTGGGATCATTTCTTGTTTGTCAAACAATGTTGGTCTGGTTTTGTCTGATGTCTTGAAGTTTTTTTCTTTTGTAAATATGAAAGAAAAACTATGCGTCTATTTGATTTATTTGGGAGGATTTTTCTTACACAATCAGTCTTTTCTTTAATTGATTGATTTTGTTTTATTTTTACATGTTACTATTATATGTCACCGGATAAAATTATAGCCTGTTCTTTTGTTTTAGTAGATGTCCCAAACATTGTAGACATTGTTTTCCTATTGTTTTTGTTTTTATAAAGACTTTTGTTTTTCTTGATAAGATATTTGTTTCTAAAACTCGCATATAGCTTTCTCGTCTATTTTTGTTATTAACTGGTTGTTTGTTTGTATCTATACGAATGTTTTTTGCTAGTTTCGAAGAAAAACAAAGGATTTTTTTTCTTGAACGCTTGTTTTCTATCGAAACAATCTTTGTCTTCATCTTCTTTTAGTAATGAATATGGAAAAAGCCAAAAAATAAATGAATTTTAATGGTATTTTTGATATTCTCACTACCTGTTAGTGTATCGAAGTAAGAAGTGTATTGATATCCAAATATAAATGCAAAAATATTCAATATAGTATACCGAAAACGAAAAAGATCATTAATTGTTCTTTCGAACGATTATTTAGTTTCTTCAAAACGGATTGAGCTTTGAGCACTCTCAAACTGCCCCTCCCAGTATTACATAATACAATAGGCATGAATCTTTCAATACGTGCATCGTGTAGAGCATAAAAAGTTAGCTGTAGAACAACATTAAACTTGTTTTTCAAAAAAATCTGTGAACCATGGTTTTTCATAGGACGAAAGTTTTATGGGTACCGATAGTTATCGGACTAATTCTTTCGCCATTTTACACAACTTTCTCATGACTTCATTTTCATCTATGATAGTCTACGGAAGGGACTTGGGCTTGTTCACGTATCATCTTTGACATAAGGCCGTCACGTTTTGTGAAAGTCATAGCTCTTCAGTTATGCAATTTGCAGAATTGTAGACCGTCTTATTTTGTAGCTTAAAAATTTGTTCTTTCAAATGGTAATTAAGCAAAGTCTAGCAGCTGACTAGTTGAAGTAATATAATGTTTTTGTTATACGCCACTTTCGTACAAAAAAGCCTTATTGGCACGAATTATGGGCAGCTGTATAGGGTAGGTGTAGACTTTGCTTAATTTAACTGGTACGCTTGGACAGTCCGATTTGTACAGTACGTTATTTTTAAAATAATACGTGTCTTCCACTATATTGGTACTGTTATTTTTTTACATTAACAACTCATTCTCTCGTCATTTCAGATATGTTTGATAAAACAAATAAACAATTTTACTTTCGTTCACCAAATCCATTTTGGTGTTTTGTTATTCCCGTATTGATTGTGTACTTGACATTATGTGCATATTGGCCTGATATTCTACCATTTCATAAACTTGGCTATTTGGGAACATTTTCTTCCTATTTAGTTCTAAATCATCGTCTCATAGTTGTCCTCATATTTTGGGCTATTTTAGCGTGTCATATTTATGAAAGTGTTTTAGCTGCTAACTATTCGTCAAAAGCAAATTTAAATAGAAAATCTATTAATCTATGGTCGTTTCAAACATTTGTATTAGGTAAGAAACCATGATTTCTTTCAATAATCGTTTAATACTTATATTCTAGAGAAATGTTGCTCACATTCTCTTTTAGGCTATCCATCGCTACGATTAGTCAAATGTTATTTACGTGATCATAAAAATAAATAACAATAAATAAATTTATGGTGCTCATGGTGCTTCTTTGTTTATCGTTTAATCTTGTTTTTTAGTCACACATATATTAGCAGAGAATCCCATTTGCATAACGTAATTGATCACTCTATCTGTACATATAACTTGTTGATGTACTATTTTTTTTGAACATAACTGTTAAATATGAGAATTGAAAATCTAGTTTTTGTCTATTACATAGTTATATTGATTATTTTTATTGAATTGTTCCATAGCTATTAGTTACGGCATCAATAGTGAAAGACAATGTGTATATAATATTCTTTTTTGTACCAAACATACGGTTTTTTACCCTTTTATTAGCTATTTTAGATATGAGTTATCTGACATATATGAAGAACAATTAACGTTATTGCTCGTTATAGTGGTTGTCTAAAAAAGAAATTTGATTAGAATGTGTGAACCGAAAGTAAATTTAAGCGATGAAGAATGGAAAGTAAAATTAACGCCGGAACAATTTCGTGTATTACGTCAAAAGGGAACAGAGCAGGCTTATACTGGCGAATATGAAAATCATGAAGACGATGGCGTTTATAAATGTGCTGGATGTGATGCACCATTATACAAGTAAAGTAGTTTTTTCGACAGCAACATATCACTAGCAAACGATCACCTCAGTCTGAAAAGTTGAATTAGTTATGCGGTTTTATCAGGACTGATTAGTGTCTGAATTATCTCGGAAAAAGCTAAACAATACTTTTCATGAAATTAGTTTTGGTTTCTTTTGCTTGACATCTTCTAGGTGAATATCCTTACAGCACTTTTGGTTTAGAGATGTTTGTTATTTACAGGAATCTTTCTCTTCTAATACTGATTGAGAGCTGAAAAATCTGATTGTAACCAGATTTTGGAATTTGTCTTTCTCAGAAAATTTAGTCCTGATTCTGTCATCATATCAAGGGGGGAAAAGCATACTTCTGTACTTCTCGGTACTTCTTGATACTTCTTCGTACTTTTTTGTACTTCTCCGTACTTCTGAAGTACGAAGTACGCTTTTTCCCCCTTGCATCATATTCAGAGTTGAAATGAGCTGCTCAGAATTTTCATCTTTGAACTGGACCATACATTTTAATAAAGTCTAATTCAACTCTGATAAAACTGTAGAGCTGATTCAACTTTTCAGACCGAGTGAATTGTTAATTAGTGATCGAGTATATTCTGGATATTAGTTGAAATCTTCTTTTCTTCATTTTAGTTCCACAACAAAATTTCAATCGGGATGTGGATGGCCAGCATTTTTCAACGCTATTCCTGACGCTATCACTCGAAAAACAGATACTAATAGAAAACATACTGAAATTCTTTGCTCAAATTGTGGCAGTCATTTAGGACATGTATTTAAAAATGAACGTTTCAAAAACGGAGCACAAACATCAAACGAAAGACATTGTGTTAATAGTATATGCCTAAAGTTTATTGCTGAAAAATAAAATTCTTCTTTAACTTCTTCTATAGCTTCTTTTTACAAATAGAGTCTTTCTTTGGAACAATCAAAAGTAGATTATAACAATTTTCTTTCTAGAAAAACCGCAAAACTAATTTAGAGTTTTAATTTCTATTGTTCTTATTAACTACGTTTATCTACCAGAGTTGGACAAGTGAAATATATTCAGTGAGTGGTCAAAGAAAAAATAGTCAGTCAATTATCAAAAAATGATCTATTTCTTTTCTTTAGAATGATAATGACAGATCATGATTTTCCTCCATTGAAAAATAATTTAATATTACGTGCATGTCGTGGCGAACATGTTGATCACATTCCTGTATGGATTATGCGTCAAGCTGGACGTTATTTACCAGAATATTTAGAATTACGTAAACAACATTCCTTTTTTGATATATGTCGTACACCGGAGTTGGCATGCGAAGTCACATTACAACCAATTCGTCGATTTGATCTCGATGCAGCTATTATTTTTTCGGATATTCTTGTTGTTCCACAAGCACTTGGCATGGAAATAGATATGTTACCAAAAGAAGGACCAAGATTTCGTCAACCACTTACGGTACCGGCTGATATCAAACTAAGAATTGATCGTACGAAACAAGCGAAACAAGAATTAAAATATGTCTATGATGCCATTACATTGACAAGACAACAGTTGAATGGACAATGTCCACTGATCGGATTTGCAGGAGCACCATGGACATTGATGTCATACATGATCGAAGGTATGAAATTAGACCTACAAACGTTCAACGTTCCTCTTCAGTGTTTTCCTTTAAGGTGAACGCTAGGACACGTTGGTGTTCCAGTGAACGCAAACTTTATTTATGATGTTATACTACAACTACTATCCATTTCAATGTACAATGGCGCCGGTTGTAAGTTGAATAGCTCCGGATAGGAAGCAGCTAGAGATCTGCGGTTTTCAACATTCAAAAGAGAATAATATTCTTTATTAAGAAATATCGAAAGCTGGTTGGTCGACAATTGACCAATCAGATGAGTTTTCGCTTGGCATATTGGGTACTGCCTGGAGAAAAGATTCTCCGTTGGCTTTGAAATTATAATACAACCATTCGATAGAGAAAATTGTTCTCTATTGATGTACACAAGACCCAGCTCTTTAGCTTGTGCTGTTCATGAAATATAAGTAGTTTCCTGAGAGCTCCGATTTCGGCCAGCTGACCTTGGATCAATCAAAAAAACCTCGAAATATAGGTAATCGACCATGCTGAGTCGAGTGGTGATATTTATTTTCAGTTTCGAAGCGAACTAATTCGCTAGATTAAACTTTTTTGAAATATCGACTCGATACGCTGTATAGCGCGACATAGCGTCCGAATACAAAAATTCCAGAAATATTTAATTTAATGATTTCAATCGCTTCGAAACTGAAAATAAATATCACCACTCGACTCAGCATGGTCGATTACCTATATTTCTAGGTTTTTTTGAT